TCATCAAAATATGTGGATGGAAAAAAATTATTGTACTATGTTTTAGGAATAATTATTAAACTGCTTATAAGTTTCGTTTCATTTCAACCATTTAAATAGTTTTCCATCATAAAAGAGAGTAATCAGAACAGATATTATATGCTACACCAATGCAACAGCACAATATTTGGTGGGGCCATTAGGGGACATTTCTGGGCTACTCTGGATCCGTGAGTCCAGAAACCAGGTCCACGATGCTGCAGATCTAAAGTATTTTTGTATCGCCATAAGTAGGGGGCCCATAAATGTGTGTTATCCCAACGCTCCCTCGCAACTAGCTGGAACAAATTGCACAGTGAATTCAGTCAGCTTATAATCAGTTTTATTCCCATCATCAGCTGTAAACCCAAATTATTTTGCTAAAAAATGAATTTTGTTGTGGACATTGTCATTCATAACATTTTTGTAAATTTATTATAATATTATATAAATAGGGGGCGATAATGACAACAAAATATTTAAAAGATTTTCGCGGGATAATAAAAAATATTATTTTGAATGCGGGTTGCATAAAATTAACCTATATTTTTTGGGAAAAATAATTGACCGGATGCATAGGAATTCATGTGTCCTGTGACGCTTCCCGCACGCAAATCGATGTGCGCAGTAGGCAAAGTAAATCCCGGGTTCGGTAGTAAAAGCCACTGTATTTCGGGTTCAAGTATAAGTATCAGATAGAGGATACCACGCTATTTTTTGGATTTTTTTACGCATAAAACGGGTCGTAACGAGGATTCTCGCGTTTTTGGGGAAGGGGGCGGGCGTCGCAACGCCCACCCCCACGATATCGGTCGTTGACTGCGCCGATCGCGCGCCAGATTATACCGCGCAAGGTCGTCTGCGGCGTTGTTTTTTTTTTCGCCGTCTTGTTGCCACGCGCGATAAGATAAAGAGCGAAAAATCGAGCCGGTGCCGCCTCGCCCGCCGCCGCCCGCGCCGGATCCACGCGGAAGCCGGATATTTTTTTTCCCCACTCGCGACCGCGAAACGGAGACGACGGCAACGTCGCGTCCGCGAGAAAAACAAAGCGATAAATAACGCGCGCGCGGGGTCGGGGGTGGGGGGAGACGCGTTTCGCGTGTTGTCGCGGGGCGGCCGCCCACGCGGTCCCTTCTCACTTACCACATCCTGGGGTATCTGGCCCATCGTGTCGCCTTCGCGGGCTTCCTCGCCCGCTCCCCTCTTGGCCACGGGAATTTTGACGCGTGGAACTACCGACACCCGGAAAAATCAAGTGAGTGTCACCGTTCGACGCGGCGCATGACACGCGCGCACGTAAACAATCGCGGCCGCCCGCGATGTCTCTCGCAACTTCTCGATGGGGGATCCGATCACGCGTGTCCGTCCGCCCGCAGAACCAACCGTTTCCTCGAGTCCGCACTGTTTGTCGCGAGAAAAGAGAAAACGGGATCGGCGCACGGCACAACAGGCGGCGGTGGGGAGCGCGCGACGTTGCCGCTAGCCTCCCGAATTCCGACGAAACGGGTACGTTTTGCGACGGCGGGTGCCTTAGTGTTTTACCCGCTTGGACCCATTCCACTCTGTATAATGAATCTCTCACTGTCTATACCGAAAGAAAAAAGGGCACATCAGGTAACAAAGTAAGGAGGCCGACTTGTAATTAATAGTCTCTTACCTTCTCAGAATCTCTTACCCTAATAATCTAATTACCGAGAACCTGGTCGTCCTAAGTGTTTTTCTCGTAAAAACCGATTATGTTATTAGTATGTATAAAAGCGCACCATTGTTTCAATCGGTCCTAATTTGACTTAGTGACTAAATGATATAGTTGCTTCAATTCGGCTTATCTTCTACCCACCCATTTTTGAAGAATCCTTTTTTCTACTGTGTCGTGTGTGTCGAACCAAGTTCCGTCTAAATACACCATTGGCCTAGTTTGCTCTCGAAATTTTTCATTGCAAACTTCTTTGAGATTCCATTTGAAACCTCTTACATTGCGCGTTTTTGTGGGTAATTTGATAGGGGGTCCCTAGAACTCGCCCCGTTTTTTAAAAAAAAAAAAAAATCTAAAGTTTCAAAAATAGGTTGCCAATACTAGGGGCACTCCTAGCGGTCGATATTAGGAACACAAAACCACAAAAAAATGGTTTTATGCGATAACCTTGTTTATATTTTTTATTTATTTTATTTATTGTTTATACTACAAGCAAGTTGTTCTCTGTTTTTACGTATGCAGAATTTCGTGTTATTTTTTTTTACATTTCTCTACTTGATAAGGGCCGTAACGTTGATTTCTGTATTATTTGTGCCACAAACGGGTTATTCTCCAACAATACAACGTATAGTAAGGAACACTAAAAAAATATTATTTACACTGCAGACGCCTTGTCATCTTCTATTACAATACAACGTACCTCGAGGAACTCACTAAAAACGAAGTTATCAAAACTTCCAGACTTGATAAGGATCTTAATGTTGATTTTTGCATTCCTTACACTACAGACGAGGTTTTCTTTTCCTTTACAATACAACGTATCCCGAGGAACTCCCTCAAAACGAAGATATCGAACTTTTCATGCTTGATAAAAGCCGCAATGATGATTTTTGCATTATTTACAATACAAGCGCGTTGTTCTCTTCTTTTACAATACAACGTCTCGCATGGAACCCCCCAAAAACGAAGTTATCGAAGTTTCCCGACTTGATAAAGGTCCTAATGTTGATTTTTGCATTATTTACACTACGAGCGCATTGTTTCTTTCAAAAATTATGTTGTTCGTCCTTAACAACGTATCGCATGGACTCCCCAAAAACAGAGTTATCGAAATTTCCAGACTTGATAAAGACCCTTATGTTGATTTCTGCATTATTTACACTACAAGCGCGTTGTTTTATCCCATACTTTCAGGAACATCAATGACTTGTAATTGCTGTCTCTTTCAATCCAAAAAGTATTACGTTTCATGATCCGTTCTTCAATTTGACAGCTTGGCCTCCATCTTGTTAAAAGTTTGGCACAAACCCTTTTTACCAGTCCTTTTAGTCGTTTTCCAGATATTTTTTCCAATATACAGGGTGTTTTTCTTGGCAATGTAACTTAATATGTATCAAGGGATAATTTACAAAAACAGATACTTGAACCCGTGAATAGTGTCTTCTTTTAGACACCCTGTATAATCAGATTCAAAAGATACGTTAAAAATACAATACTACGCGTCAAAACGGAAATTTACTCGACACTGTAGACGTGATTCTGCCCTTAACTCTAGCAACCCTTTTATCTGTCGTGGTGGAAACGAAACATAACGCCCTAGGACACTTGGGAAAAGCCATAATCAATCGCTTTCACGCTTTTCCCAACCCAAGCTAACCAAATCCACGTGGGCCACGTTTTTTCTTTCATTCCAAATACGTGAAAAACATAGATTGCCGGTACATGAAATATCGACGCAGAGCCGGCAACGTCGCGCCCCGCGCGCCAGCTGATCGAACGGGCGGCCGCATTCCGAGTCAGCTGATCGCCTTAGCAACAACGCGGGGCCGAAGGATACGGCGCGGCGTTGCCGCGCGCGCTCGTTTTTCCCCGACCGCGGGTCCGTCGCCGGAAAACGGGTTTTTCGCTGATGCAACCCCGCCGGCGGGTTGCGTGAGTCACCGGCGTCATCGATATCGACAAAGGCCGCGGTATCGATATCGTCTTCGCCGGTCAATATTTGCGTTTTCGTGTTTATCGCGAGGCCGGACCCTATGCAAATCAATTTCCGATATTGCGGCCTCATGCCCCCTCCCCCTCATAGGCGCCCGGCGTTATACAGGGCGTCTCGCGTTAGAGATTTCCGGAAAATTCGGTTTTCGGCCCACTGCACTCCACTCCATTTTTTGACATCTTTTTATGAAAAACAGAATAAAAAAGGAAATTATCAGGTAAGTAACTATAGCACCAGTAAAATGCTGCAATTGTTATACAGGATGTACAATTAGTGTGTCAAAATAAATTTACGTTTTTAATTTTTTTAAAATACCTACGTTCCTTCGAGAAGAAATTTTTGCTAGAAATAGAGGTCAACGAGGTCCATCCGCAGATACCAAAAAGTCCTTCCCCCACCCCCTCCACTTAATTGTAAATAATTATTTTTTGAAAATTTTCAGCCTCTCACAAAAACCGTTCCAGAAAACGAACGATATAGCGTGCGTTAGACTTTTTAGTGTCGTTCGATAGGGGAAGGACTGAGGTACATAGAGTATAAGTTTCAATTTTTCAAAGATAAAAATTAGGGAGATATGTAACTTACAAAATTGATCATCAATTCTTGGAAACTTTCCCGCATATTAAAGTTTAAAATAAAGAGAGAAAATGACGACATCTATTTCTTTTTATGATCAATAATGACTAGTTTTATTATATTAAGGCTTTTAGGTTAAATAAAAATTTAAATTAAATAGACCTTTTTTTATAATCTGTTATGGCCAAGTAAAAATAATTTTCCGAAACTTAAATGTTAGGCTCCACATTGAAAAACAGCCATGGGGTTTTTGCATGAAACACTCAATCGTATTATCCAAAAATATAGAGAGTGAGCCATGAAAAAATCTGTTTGGTTTATTTCCGATAAACTTTAGAGAGAGGCCCCGCAACGACGTCGAAAAAAGGACGTCCGGTATATTTTTTCGAAAAATCGTTTATCGCGGAAGCGTCGCGGCCGCCGGCGCCCCAGAAAAATTTTTATCGGCCCAAATACCGAGCGTTCCCGGGTTTATTTTCGTCCGCCGGACAAAGGCGCGCGTATTGCGGGTTGCCGCCTATTTTTAACCCGTCGAGTAAACACCGCGTATCGCCGTAATAATAGGAAGACGAAAGCGTAATCGGGGTTAAATAAACAGACGATAAGCGGACGTTATCGGCGCGCGATAAGCGCCGAAAACGGAGACAAAAACACGTCTCAATGTCGAATTGAAAAGGCCGCGCCCGGCGCATCCGCCAAAGCGATGCTCGCGCTCACCTTATCGTTGTGGGTCCCCAAAAACGGCAACTGCAACAAAAAGAAACAAGTTCCAGGTATCCAGGTATTGCAACGAAAATTTAACTACAGCTTCGCTTCAGCTTATACAGGGTGTTGCAGTAAGAGAATATTTAAATCACCCAGTTTCAGTTTCAGTCAAGCCAACAGGGTGATTGGCGAAACGTCAGCAATTTCGACTAAGCAAAAACCGATGCAGGAGGAATCCAGAAGTTTTGAAGTTTTGTAAAAAGCATTACAGTAGCCTGTGGAAGTTTCTTTGAAAAAAAAAACTGTAAAGGGTGGACCCAATTATGTGGTACATTGAAAATTGAACAATTTATACATTAGCCCATATCGGGGTGGATTTTTAAAAAGAAATCATGACATGTTTAATGAGTTAATTAAATTATTTTTTTAAAGATAGACCAAGTTATCATGAAAAGTTGCACTTTTAAATTTCTTTGCGACTTTGATTTTTGCACAGCTCGGTGGTAGTTGTTGTTATAATTTTGGTTTTCAGAAAAATTTCTTAATAATGATTCCCTGCCAAATAACATTATCTGGTTCCGTGTTTTAATGTTTTTTTTTTAATTTGATTTTAAGGTTTACCGAGACGGAAGATTTTTGAAAACATACTCCGCAAGCTTTTTAATTTTTTTTAACGTTTTTTTTACGTCTTCGTTATAGTGTAACCAATCGAAGTGGGGTCTGGATTTTAAAATTTTATTTTTAGAGTTTTTGACCACAAACAACACACCCTCTATATAATATGCGACATTTGGATTTGAAACCAACCAAACCAATGGAATTTACTCTATTGTTGACTCACCCTGTATATATCTTTAATAATATTAATAATAATAATAATAATAATAATAATAATAATAATCTAGTATACGACAAACACTAATCTGCATTTTTAACTAAGTGTATTGAGAAAATTACTGGAAAATACTTGTTTATTATTATAAATAATATATATACAGGGCGGGTCGACGAAGGCACGGTACCTGATCACCCATATTCTATACCATGCTATATAAAAGACGAGATACAAAATTTAAATAATAGTTCGTGTTTTAGGGAAACGGGCGCGAGGAGCGGCAACGCCGCGCCGATTAGCGAATCGTCGTAGTCGCAGCAACTACGCGTCAGTTGGACGCGGTTTGCGACGGGAGGAGTGCCGCGAGGTTACATCCCGGGGCCGATGCCGCGTCGCCGCGACGCCGACGACGCACGGTCCTTCGAGCCGGATTGGATCCTCGAGCGCACGGCGAGCGGCCGCCTGTACTGGCGTCGGGACGACGGCGCGTCGCCGCCGACGCGCAGCGTCAAGTTTAGGCACGAGGTAGAGGTGAAAGAGTTCCGCAGGGACGCTCACGAGTTCCGCGAGCCCGATTGGGCACGCCCCCGCCTCACCATGCTCAACCTGGGCGTCACCTGCGCGATCTGCCTCACCGTCACCGTCATTTTGCCGTGGTATCTGCTCGGGGGCATCGCACACTGGATTGAACCGAACTAATTATTTATTTCGGATTGATGTGAATATAAAAAGTTCAGCGAACGATTTTTTACTAAAAATGTTATATACGGGGTGTTCCCGACATGCGAAACAACTTCAAATGAATAAACGTTTGTGTTTTACTAATTTCCAATATTTATTTCAGTTTGAAATAAAAAAATATAAACAGCTCTCTTGCAAGAGGAAAAAAAATCGTGTCTAATTCTGCATCGTTAAAGACTGTTTCAGTTTTCGAAGAACCTATTCACATGTAGAGTATAATATTAAAACCTCTATACCAAATTCGTAGATACGATACTTGGCTGACGACATTTTTTTTTATTTTAACATTTCTCTTAAAGATGGAAACTTGTCGCTCTCTGTAGACGGGACATTAATTGGTTATAACTTTTGAACGGCTTTCCATAAGACAATCAGGCTCCTTTTAAGCGGTCCACGAGACACAAGAGCAGGTAAAAATTGACTCCGCTCAAACCGCGGCATCCATCTTTTTTTTCGATTTTCGACTGTTTTCCGAACGCCGCTATGAATCCCGGTATTCGCAAAAAACTTAAATTCCCCTTATAACGATAATTAACTATAACTAGAAGGCTGTGTTTCAGTTGTCACTTTCTCACAAAATTTTGGTACGGTTTGCTTTTTACATATTGTACAGGGTGCTCTGGATATTCTGCGTTAAATTCAAAAATCTAATAGGTGTCTGTGTGTAGCAGAGAAGTAGAAGAAATTGAGCACAATCAAATGCCATTTAAATTCGTAAAAAATATGGGTAATTGGTTTAGAGGATATTGTAGAGCGAATCTAGAGCTACAATTTTTGTATTTATCCAATTCTAAATAAATCTCATTACTATTACAGCGTACTGCATGGTTTCAGAAATCAAGTATTTTCTCGAAAATTATTTACTCTATTGGAAAAATTCATATAAAAGGAAAAGGCATTAACAAGCGTCCAATTAAGTAATTTCCAACAAGTCCAGCCCAAACATTTATCAAAAATCGTTCATGATGTTTAAATTTAAAAGGGTGAGATAAATATTGAGGACGGAGGGAAGTCGATGCTTAAACACACAACAAATTTTTGTTAAAAAAGAAAGTTAGCATGCCTAGTTTTACCCGGCTCGGGGCCCACCCGGGAAAACCAGCGAAACCGCGGGTCACTTAAATCATCAAAAGACACTATCTCTTCGCCGGGATTCAAAACAGAAACAATTCGACCGCTAACAAGTCTCAAACGTGGAAAAATTCGGTTTCCGTAGGCAACAATCGACTTAACTCGAGCGATGCCACCCACGGAATCCGACAAAATTGTTTTGGTCACAGGTACCATTGAACATCTTTTTTTTGTGGTCCGTCGAACAAATGACGCCGGGCCACTCGCCCATTACCGAACCCTCGCCGTTTTATGCAATAATAGAATAATAAACGATCGCAAAGGTGACGCCTTTGCTTAATTGCGACGTTGCCGCGACGCGCGCGGCAACGTCGCCACCCGATTTCGCCTAGCGACGGGCAGTCTGGAGATACTTGCCTCGTCGGGTGGGATGTAGCGACTCGGGCTGGGGACGACGGGAAACGGCACCGCGAACTCGCGGCTCTGCAACAAAGGAAAACGGGGCGTCAGTGTCCCCTCGAAAACGGCCCAGTACCTGGAGCGCCTCCAAAATGTGCCGGCACTTGTCTCGGACGTTCGCGAAGGGACACGTCAGGCACAACCGCAAAATGACGGGCAGGTGGAACGCGACGAGCTCGACGCACTCCTTGGGCACGTCGCCGCCGTCGCAGACGCGCGCGATCTTGTCCTCGGAGACGCCGTTGAGCCAGGAGATGAGGTCCAGGTCGATGTCGTCGCCGTCGGGCGCGGGGTTACGGGCGACGTACATCGCGTTTTGGACCCCCGCGACACTCGCGCGCGACGAAACAAAGGCGAAACCGGCTTTCGACTGCTGTTTTTTTTGCACGTCAATAGGAACAGCCGGCTCGGATCGCGGACCAGCTGACTGTAATAATAGCGCGGCGTTGCCGGTTCCGCCGTGAGAGGCCGTCTCGATGACGTTAGGGTCGGGGGCGGGGGTTCGAATCAAACGCTACAGTTTCGAAATCATTTTATTCGACGAGCCGGTGCGGAGCGTCGCGACGGGCGACGTGAAATACCGGAACGAACGGGATTTCGCGCCGCCTCCGGCAACATCGCGCGGAGGCCTCTTTGCGCAACCATGTCGATGACTAAATCGGGCGAGCGTATACTCGTACCAACTATATAGGGCCCGTCCGGTCCCAAACGTGCCGAGGGTGAGCGGCCGGAGGGCGCCATCTCACGACATCGGTCCGACGTGACGACGTTACGCGCGACCGGGACTCCCAGCCCGCGTTTGAGAACCAAATAGGCAGACGAAATGGCCGCTATACCGTCGGCACGAGTACACGGCAACAGGTTCGGTGCGGCGTTGCCGGGCGACTGATAGGTCAAGGTGACCCTCAGTGGTTACGAGCTCGATCCGGACACCTCGCGACATCTGGCGGCGGCGGCTTCGACCGCGCCGATGACGGCGGCCCGGAAACCTGCAAAATCGGCACGTCGTGCTCGACGGAAAGTTACAAGCGTTCGACAACGTTACCGTTCCGTTCGAGGAAATGCAATGCCGCGGCGGTCGAGCCCGCAGGCGACGTGACGTCGTCTTTGAGGACGCCGGGGTGAGTCCGGGTGTCCCTGACCATCTGCCCGGCCCCGACGACGGTTTGGGCGGCCAGCCTGTACGCCAGGTCGCGCGGCAGTCCCATTTTCACGCCGCCGTCCGCCAGCGACTCGATCATGACGTAGACGTAGGCAGGGCCGGACCCGCTCAAAGCGGTCACGGCGTCCAGGGCCGACTCCGGCACTTGCTCGCAAGTGCCGACGGAGCGGAGCAGCTTGCCCGCGACGGCCAGGTCACGGTCGGTAGCGGCGGCGCCACTCACGAACACCGACGCTCCGCTTCTGACGAGTGCCGGCGTATTGGGCATCGCCCTGATCACCCTCGCGCTCCTGGGCAATATTTGCTCGAGCTGCTTTATGGTCACGCCCATCGCGATCGACAGGAATAGCTTGTCGGCGGCGTGGGTCCCGACCTCGCCCAACGCGACAGGCACCACCTGGGGCTTCACGGCCACGATCACCACGTCCGACTTGGACACGACGGGCACGTTTTCGAACACCGCCTCCGCCCCTAGCTCCTACGAGGTGCGCGCGCGTCACTCTGGGCGGTCAAGCGCGAGCCAGTACTTACCCGCATAGCCTTGGCGGACGCCAAGTCAGAGGGGTGGCAGCTGGAGACGATGGCCTCGCCTTTCGTCAACCCTTCGGCACACACATTCGATCACAAACACAAACGGTTATCGGTATACGAACCTGCCGCTATGAACCCTTTGGCGAGGGCCTGCGCCATCTTGCCGCCCCCGATGAACCCGATCCTGAGCAGTTTCGACGACATTTGAGCCCGATCAGGCATCGTATTATCGCGTTATCGGACCTCTTCAAAAATCATGTTTACGTTGCTAGCTTATCGGTCCGCGATTGGTACATAATAACAGAAAAGAAATAAACAAAACTACGAGCTCGAGTCTTATCCAGGCGCAGTCCAAAGTCCCGCGGAATCGTTCGAAATGAAAAGCATCTTTGCGATTTTCTTCGAAATTTTATTGCAACGAAAACGCGCCATCTAACGGCGGCGGTGGGTAAGCAGTTACCCGAAACGGGTGCGAGCGCGCCGCCACAGGTGGCGCCACGTTTCGCAGTAACGTTTTCCGTTGACAAGATAGCGCGCGCGCAGTCGCCAGAAAGATTTATTTACATATCAACGTTACAAAATTATAGAAGAGTGTGGCGCCCGCGTTAAAACACGCGGTCCTGGTAGCCACTGTCTTGGACGGCCGACGTCGTCGGCCTGGGCATCGAGTGGTGCCTTATCTGGGTTCCCCTCCGGGCGGGAGCGAGAAACTCGAACATGCTCTGAGTGTGGTTCGCGAGCATTTTCCCGAGCTCGCAGGGCATCGGATCGGTCCAGAAAAAGTCGTGGTTCAAGGCGGTGTCCGAGTCGGCCCTCTTGGCCGGGTCCAATACGAGTAGTTTGTCCAGCAAGTCCAACGCGTACGGGTCCTTCATGTAGGGCTTGAGCCGCTCCTTGACCTTGCGTTTTTGCTCCTGCGGCAGCTCCATCTTTTTAAACAGTTCGAGGCCGTCGACCCCGGGCCAATTTTGGGGGTTTATCGAGCCGCACAGCTGCGAGATCAGCGTCAGCTGTTGCTGCTCGCTGTTGCCCTGCATGATGGGAGAGCGGGTCCACATCTCGGCCATTATGCAACCGGCGCCCCACAAGTCGACGGGCGGGCCGTAATTCCTCTCACCGAGGAGCAGTTCCGGCGGCCGGTACCACAGAGTCACCACTCGATTGGTGAACCTGTTCGGTTGGCCATTTTTATTGGTGCTGAAGGCGCGAGCCAGTCCAAAGTCGGCCAGCTTCAGCACCCCATTCTTCGTGATCAACACATTGGCAGCTTTCATGTCCCTGTGCAGGATCTTGTTCTGGTGAATGTAATACAGGCCGTTCAGCAGCTGCTGAAGCACCTTTTTGATCTCGCCCAAACTAAACTTTACGTTCACGTTCGATAAGAGTCCGGCCAGGTCGTGTTCGCAAAAATCAAACACCAGGTAAAAAGTCGATCGGTAGCGGTTGTTCGAGCACGCCTTGGTCCGACATATTTCGATCAGGTTCACCACGTTCTCGTGCTTGAGCAGCTGCAGGATACGGATCTCCCTGAGCGCGGTAATCGGAAAACCCTCCTTCTCGTTGTCCATCAGCACCTTCTTCATAGCGACGAACTTTTTCGGGTTGCTGTTGTCCCGCGCCTTGAACACCTCGCCGAAAGTGCCCTGCCCGATTTTGGCCACCTTCTGGTACTTGGACGCCTCGTCGCAACAGGGAAAGTTGAAGGTCTCAATGTATTTTTCTTTCTCGCGCATGTTCATCGCCCCCTGCTGCGGGTGCCCCGAATGGTGGTTGTTTTGCATCGCGAGGTCTTGCTCGAACGCGTTTCAAACACTGTCCGCATTCAAGTTTTCATGACTCGTACGCCAATTTATTGGCACGTAAACATAACCTCCAAGAACGTCGACGTCACACGTAAAGCAGAGCGAAATAATAGCAAAAGCGCTGGGAAGCGTTTTGAGGCTAATTGGCGCAAATTTATGAAAAAATAAGAAGACCGGAAAATGTAAACGAAAACTGCCAAAGTGTGGAGTTTTGAAGCAATATGTGCATATGAAATTGACTTATGTACCAATGTATAATCAATATAATTCAGCTTTTTTTGTAACTCTTTAAAACCCGGATTTGATTACGTTCACGATTTCACTTCGGGAGCCTAGTTCATGGGGAAACTATCAGACGGTGGGCCGCGGAGATCACAAACTATCGAAATGAACCCATAATACATTTCCTACAATTAATGTGTTGTTATCACAGAATAGTTAAATAAGCCAGGAACACAAAACGAACGATTTAAGGCGTCTTGTTGCCATGGAAACGTCAACAATAATTTTGTGGTTGTCAGTGGCATTTCGAGAATGTTTTATTTATATAATTTTCTAGCTTCTAGCTTTTCACCAAATTCAAAATGCAAGAAGCCCGTTTTGAGACTAATTAAACTAATTTTACGGAGAAACGGAGAAAACTGTTTTCGTTATAAGTTTTGACCTATTAATATATAAAATTGTTTTCTTTTTTTATATTGCGATAGAGTACCTTAAGTTTGATTCATGGAAGATATTGTTATTATTTTTGGCATTTCAATAGTGAAAAGTATTGTCATAACATTTGTTTACTATGGGTTGTTATGCTCTTTTGACCCAAGACCAATCAAAACCTTAAATGAACGCTCCTTTCGCAAAGCAGTGGTCTAACTTTTTTAGAGCTATGACTAATGCAAAAATTGTAACAAAAACAGAGCAAAGTGCTTAACTGAATGATACTTTTGTCGTATAAAAACTCTGTTATTGTTTAATTTTGTTTCTTTCAAGCAAACGAACTTAAAATTTAAAAAAATCCGATAACAACAAAATTTTACTTTGTTAAATTGTTACTTTTGGGACACTTGCATTAAAAAAAGTCTGTCACCTATTCATGTTTTAATGTTAACAGAGCCTTTTGTCATAGCCAATTACTATTATAGTTATACACTATGAGATCACTTCTAAATTCGTGCGATGTACACCGTGTGCCAAATAAGACGATCCACTATACGATCTGAAAATCCGTAGGAAATACGAAAAAAAGTTTCTTGGACTTCCCTGAAGATTTAAAAAACTTTTGTGTTCATCAGGGGTGTCGGAAAAGTGCCCCCCGACAACAACGTTATTATTTTAAATGGAACACCCTGTATATTTCAACATTTTTGGAATGCTTGGTTTAAATAAAGATCACTTTCTTAAAAAATTCCTATTCGAATTTTGCCTGGTTCAGTCAGAAATTGAGGTTATGTGTTTTTGTTTTCATATTTTGATTGCCCCATATAAAATTGTGTTGTGGCACTACTGATCCAGGTATTGCAACGAAAACAACCACAGACTAAGGAGTTTGCGCTACTCAATCAGTTTGACAGATTCACTTCAGTGTTGCAGTAAGAAAATATTTAAAACACACTTTTTTTTGGAGTTTTTCGCACCCCAGTTAACACTGTAGAAGAACTGAAAGATCGGACACTTTCAACAACCAATCTCGTTTCTATGTTCTACTCTTTTTCAAAAAGGTTGTTATTAATTTATTAACAGACAGTTTTGTTAAAAATGATTAATAGTAGGTAGTGTGTTTTTTTTTAATAAGAATGGTTTATTACTTATCTTTTTGTTAGGATTTTATATTATTTTTATTATTATTTACAATGTAAAGGGTGGACCAAATTATGGGGTATATTGAAAATTGAACAATTTTGGTTTATACAAAAGCCCATATCGGGGTGGATTTTTAAAAAGAAGTGACATGTCATGACAGGTTTAATTAGTTATCATGTTATCATGAAAAATGCACTTTTAAATTTCTTTGTGACTTTGATTTTTGCACAGCTCGGTGGCAGTTTTTGTTATAATTTTGGTTTTCAGAAAAATTTCTTAATAATGATTCTCGAACAAATAACATGATTTTTATTTGGAATTGGATAAATACAAAAATTGTAGCTCTTGATTCGCTCTACAATATTATCTAAATCAATTACCCATATTTTTTACAAATTTTTATAATTTAAAGTACAATGTTCATGGTCTTTTAGATCTTTGCGCCAATAACTGAAAAACCCTGTATATAATCGAAAATATGCTTGAAATAAAAGTTATGGTGTCGGATCTTCCGCGTCTGCCGGTTAAAGAATTTTGCAGATAGGATTAACAGTTTTTGAGAAAATGTATTTTTTCTGTAACCCAAAATAATCTTGATGGTGTTTGATTGGGCTCAATTCCTTCTACTTCTATGCTGAGTTTCGAGTCGACAGCTGCAAATTTGCAAAATTGAGGGCTTATCGGTACATATTAACAGAAAAGAAACAAACAAAATGACAATCTCGAGTCTTATCCGGGCGCGTCCCCCGGAATCCTTCGAAATGAAAAGCACCTTGCCATTTTCTTCGAAATTTTATTGCGACCAAAGCGCACTATCTACCGGCGGCGGCGGGTAAGCAGTTTCCCGAAACGGGTGCGAGCGCGCCGCTACAGAGGCCGTCACGCTTCACAGTAACGTTTTCCGTCGATGAGATGGCGCGCGCGCAGTGGCCAGAAAGTTTTATTTACATATCAACGTTACAAAATTATAAAAGAGTGTGGCGCCCGCGTTAAAACACGCGGTCCTGGTAGCCGCTGTCTTGGACGGCCGACGTCGTCGGCCTGGGCATCGAGTGGTGCCTTATCTGGGTGCCCCTCCGGGCGGGCGCGAGGTACTCGAACATGCTCTGAGTGTGGTTCGCGAGCATTTTCCCGAGCTCGCAGGGCATCGGATCGGTCCAGAAAAAGTCGTGGTTCAAGGCGGTGTCCGAGTCGGCCCTCTTGGCCGGGTCCAATACTAGTAGCTTGTCCAGCAAATCCAAAGCGTATGGGTCCTTCATGTAGGGCTTGAGCCGCTCCTTGACCTTGCGTTTTTGCTCCTGCGGCAGCTCCATCTTTTTATACAGTTCGAGGCCGTCGACCCCGGGCCAATTTTGGGGGTTTATCGAGCCGCACAGCTGCGAGATCAACGTCAGCTGTTGCTGCTCGCTGTTGCCCTGCATGATGGGAGAGCGGGTCCACATCTCGGCCATTATGCAACCGGCGCCCCACAAGTCGACGGGCGGGCCGTAATTCCTCTCACCGAGGAGCAGTTCCGGCGGCCGGTACCACAGAGTCACCACTCGATTGGTGAACCTGTTGGGTTGGCCATTTTTATTGGTGCTAAAGGCGCGGGCGAGCCCAAAGTCTGTCAGCTTCAGCACACCATTCTTCGTGATCAACACATTGGCAGCTTTCATGTCCCTGTGCAGGATCTTGTTCTGGTGAATGTAGTACAGGCCGTTCAGCAGCTGCTGAAGCACCTTTTTGATCTCGCCCAAACTAAACTTCACGTTCACGTTCGATAAGAGTCCGGCCAGGTCGTGTTCGCAAAAATCAAACACCAGGTAAAAAGTCGATCGGTAGCGGTTGTTCGAGCACGCCTTGGTCCGACATATTTCGATCAGGTTCACCACGTTCTCGTGCTTGAGCAGCTGCAGGATACGGATCTCCCTGAGCGCGGTAATCGGAAAACCCTCCTTCTCGTTGTCCATTAGCACCTTCTTCATAGCGACGAACTTTTTCGGGTTGCTGTTGTCCCGCGCCTTGAACACCTCGCCGAAAGTGCCCTGCCCGATTTTGGCCACCTTCTGGTACTTGGACGCCTCGTCGCAACAGGGAAAGTTGAACGTCTCAATGTACTTTTCTTTCTCGCGCGTGTTCATCGCCACCTGCTGCGGGTGCCCCGAATGGTGGTTGTTTTGCATCGCGAGGTCTTGCGCGAACGCGTTTCAAACACTGTCCGCATTCAAGTTTTCATGACTGGTACGCCAATTTATTGGCACGTAAACATAACCTCCAAAAACGTCGACGTCGCACGTAACTTAGAGCGAAATAGTAGCAAAAGCGATGGGAAGCGTTTTGAGGACCAGTTGCGCAATATTATGAAAAAAGGAGAAGACCTGAAAATGTAAACGAAGACTGCGAAAGTGTGGACTTATGTAGCATTGCATTATCAATATATTCACGATTTCACTTCGAGAGCCAAGTTCACGGGCTAACTATCGCACGGTGGACCGGGGAGATCACAAACTATCGAAATGAACCCATCACACATTTCGTACAATAAACGTGTCCTTATCACAGAGTAATTAAGTAGGCCATTAACACAAAACGAGCGATTTAAGGCGTCATGTTACCATGGAAACGTCAACAATAAAATTGTAGCTTGTTGTCAGTGGCATTTTGAGAATGTTTTATATATATAATTTTTCAGCTTCTAGCTTTTCACAAAATTCAAAATGCAGGAAGCCAGTTGTGAGACTAATTAAACTAATTTTACGCTAAAAGGAAATTATCCTTAAAAAAATCTACATTGTTTTGGTTAGTCAAAAATAGCCCATAAAAGTATTTTTTATAAAAATATTTTTTAAAGATCTTACCGGGTTTGCAAAAAACACGGAGAAACATGTTGTCGATATAAGTTTTGACCTATTAATATATAAATTTGTTTTCTTTTATTTATATTGCGATAGTGTAGCTTAGGTATGATTCATGTGAGACATTGTTATTATTTTTGGCATTTCAATAGTGAAAAGTATTGTCATAACTTTTATTTACTATGGGTTGTCATGCTCTTTTGACACCAAGACCAATCAAAACCTTAAATGAACAATTTTATTGCAAAGCAATGGTTTAACTTTTTTAGAGCTACGACTAATGCAAAAATTGTAACAAAAACAGAGCAGTGTGCTTAACTGAATGATACTTTAGATCTATAAAAACCCTGCTATTGTTTAATTTCTTTTCTTTCAAGCAAACAAACTTAAATATTTAAAAAAAATCCAATAACAATAACATTTTTCTGTGTTAAATTTACTGAAACGTAATTATTTCAAAATTTTTCTACATTTTGTGTAGTGTTATTAAACCGTTTTCACGATTCAATCAAAAACTGTAAATATAGTTTTTTTGTGAATTAAAGTTTAATGTTCGTAATAATTTTTTCGCTTCATCGTTGCGTTTTTATTAATATCATGTAAAATTTATTGGCACTACAAAAAAAATCGAATTAGTCAAACACTTGGGGTGGGTTTCCCCGACCCGCCGTGTGGCGTGGTCCGTAACAGTCGAAGCCACAGACCACCGACACAAGCGAAGAGTGGATGACGTCAGCGACGGGAACGTTAAATGACACAAGCGCGTATGGATATAATATATATTTAATTGGTTTCTGACTGTACCGCAGTAAAGGGCTCACAAATTTAACAAAATGGCACACCATGTACATCTCGTAAACAATATATATATATATATATGTCTATACAACAAATCTGCTCTGTAATATAGCTTCTCATTTTTTTTTGCTCTTTATCGTCGTAGACATTTTCTTTTATATAATTAAATAGATTTGCTCGCAGATCCTACAGTTACGATATAACGTAGTTCTCTGAAGGTGGTTTTTGTTTACATTCATAGAAAAGGCACTTCGAATCATTGTCTAACTAATTTCCCCGTATGTTTGCCGTCGTCGACTGTTGACCGGACGTCGACGCCCGCGCGCGCGGCCCTTAAAGGCCCGCGGAACAAAATCTCGTATCACAGGAGGCCAAACGACAAGCTACAAAGGTTCCCACTGTACGGTATTGTTAACGGAAAAAGCACGAGTGAGGTATATGACGTTACTTACGCGCGAAATTACATCGTCGTTTATATATAGTCGGTAGAGGTTTCAGGCGACGCGGGAGAGAGAAAGAGAGACGACGGCGGGTTAAAGAGACGCCCCCGAAACCCCCCTTGCACAGACCCAAAGCTCGGACCGCGTCCGCCGCACACTTTACCGTATCACAGCCAGGAATTCAACACGTAAAAGTAATATAAAACAAGAACTGTCGACTTCAAGCGGCTCCCCGTTACTACCGGGCCCCCTCGGCGGCGTCGCAAAAAAAGCATACCTATATCACACAATATTCTTTGAGACTGAGATCGAAGTGAGAGAGAGACACGGAGACACGCTCTCACAAGCTCCAAATTAAAAACCTTACCTAGACGATATTATCACCCTTTTAATACTCCTTATTATCGATTAATTACACGGCGCGACCCTAACCTCAAATCTTTACACGGGCTCTCGCCCATCGCGCGTTTCGCATTGACAACGCGCCGGCATCCCCCTAAAACTAACGCGTCCCGCCGAGACAACTATTGTCATGAAATCCAGAGTTTCGCCGCGATCGATCGCGCGTAATTTTCGCCTAACAACAACGACAGCACAGTTAAACGGTCGGGACAGGCGCTGACCGCGCGGCGTTCGCGCGCGCGCACCCCCTCGCGGCGATAATATCAATTATTCATATAAAAAGCGACACCTCGATACGATAGCGTGTACGTATCTACAAGGATAATGTTTTAAAACGACCGGCGCCATCAGTCGGCGCGGCGTTTCGGCGGCGACGCGTCCCCGTCGCCAATTTGGTCGGGCGCCGACCAGCGGCGTTTCCTCGCGCCCTCGTCGCCGTACGGGCCGCATTCGGCGACGGGATACTGCCTTGCGGTCATCGACGTCGTCGTCGCGGTCGTCACGACGGTGGCGCCCCCGCCCTGGGACGCGTTAGGCGTCTCTCTCGGCGTGAGAGAGACCAACACATCCCCCACGTGGAGCCGGTGCACTTTGAGCCCGTGACACTGGTGCGTGAGGTCGGGGTTGCAACTGGCCCATCCCTGGCCCATCACGAAGTACGGGTGCTCCGGGTTCGAGTTGACTTCGACCTGCAAAAGCGTGACGTCACTCGCGGTATTGTCTGTTCATAAATATAAGAAAGTGACCAATTGCTTTTTGAATGGAATTATCCAAGGGTGGTGATTAACATACAATGCAACAAGATTATTATCTAAAGTTTCGGAATTTAAATTCAGGTAAAATTGTGGTCCGTAATAGAAAATAATTTTATACCTACCTGTGTTTAATATTCTTAGTTTAAGTTTATTAATAATCATTCTTATGTCGTGTATAATACAGCGTGTGTTGAATCGTGTGCGAATTATGCAAAATATGTGTGAGTCTAGGAGATGCTCCCGCCCAAATGTAGAAAACACTATTCTATTGAGACTAAGAAAGTTATAAACAATGTTTATTTGACTCTCATTGAACGTGGTGCCTGCAGGCAAGCATCCTTAGTCTGTGATAATTATGCAAAAAATCTAGGGCATACAGTTTTAAGGCTTCCACCTTACCACTGTATATTTAATCACATTGAACATGTTTGGCACCAACTGAAATCTGCCATTCGTCGTAACAATGTTTTTCCCCGTGTTAACTCCAACCTGTTCGGCCATATTTCATTCTTACAGCTTGCCGGGGTCCCTCCTTAATTCAGATCAGTTAGTCACTTTCTTATATCTATGAACAGACTTTACCTATAAAATCGATTTTTGCGGCCCGGCGCAGGCCCCGTGGCCGTTCAAGGACACCGGAGCCGGTTCTGTCGTAGTACTACGAGCGTACGCATTCCGCGTCGGCGAGAGAGCGCCCGGGGCTTATTCGAAACGCTCGCCGAAAGACGAAAGAGAAATCCCTGGCGCCACCGTTACGTAAAAGCGCGATCATCCTCACCCGACCTTGATCCGGGCCGTTTTTTGTTTATGCGACGGAAAAACGCTCCGAATTTTACGCGAAAACCTCTTTTCGCGCAGCCCGATTCGATTAATTGACCATGACGTACGTCCGGTCGTTGCGGGCAACGTTGCCAAACCACCTGTTCGCAGCCTCAAATTATATATACATATCCCATTTGTATATACTTATTTATCATAATTTACGACCACAGTTCTTCGTGGCATTCTTTTTGTCGATTATTTCGTTCGATTTCATTTCATTGGCAAATTTAATTTTCCATTCCAACGCTATCGCTGTTACGTTGTCACAACAATTGAAAAAAACCCTGCCGCCGTTCTTTTTATCCACTAAATTTTTACTAGGATGTCAAGTTCGAAAGCGAAATGGCAAATGGCAACGCCGCGCGACCGGGTGTCACTTTGGGAACCGCAGTTCAAATTTTCAATGATTTTCCGAAGGGTTGACCGCCCTGGTTTTCGTTCGTTCTGTGACGGCGCTTTCTCATTGGTTGGCCCAATCACGCGAAGCCGACTGGTTTGAACTTCCCGTTTCTTGGACGTTTTTCGGCGTTTTTTCAGTGTTTTGCGACTTGGTGAAAGTTTATGAGTACCGGTGCGATCTTTCCACTTGTAACTAAACAAAACGCGGCGGTTTGCGTGAACGTGGGTTGGAGGACCGGGCAATATAGCTTGAATTTACGGAAAAACAACGGTAAAGATGTGAGGTAGGCGTTAATTAGTATACCACTTTGTAGGTGTTCGTATTGGACATGAAACAAGTCAAAGTGTTTTGTCGAAAATTAAAACCTAACCTAAAAATTGTTGCGATTGTGGTGTCATTTAAGGCCAAACGTGAAATGCGGAATACTTTTATTTTGGACGCTGCTGCTTGTTATAAACTATAGTCGGTGCGATTTGTGACGGCATAGGCGGCAATAAAATGTTTGTTCATCTTGCTTCCGCTTGAAAACATTTCACACTGAGCCTGCACTAATTTTATGCCATTGAAAATACTAGGATGATATCGTGCGTTATCCATATTCATTAAAGACGGCTCTTCGAGTTTCGGCGGCGGTTTTTCAAAAATATGACCCCGTTTTGTAATTTGTACCGTGCGTTCAATTTATCTTAATTGGCTGCGACTTTTTGTTTTTAGAGATTTTAGGATTTTAGGATTTCTTAATTGATTGCCTCTGAAATCCTTTGCCGAACTTCCACGACATTATTACAAGGAGTTGTGGGCGCGTGGTTTTCAAAAAATTATTATTCTCATTATGTATATTTAAAAAATCCAAACCTTTTTAGCATTTAATTCTATACCATTTCCTGCAATTTTTTTTGTCAGCATTTTATGTATCCGTTTTGAAGGAGCTTGGCGCTCCGGATACCTGCGGTGTTGCAACAAATGGAACCGAAAATATAGAAGATTTATGTTGTGCAAGTTAAAAATTTTCTTAACATGGAATATCCGAGGGGTTGGGAAAGAAGAAAAGAGATTGGCATTTTTCGTCTCGTTATTTACAAAAATACGATGTGGGTTTATATGTCAGAAAATTGATAGTGTTTTGGAAAAAAACTTTGCTACCAAACCTACATTTTCTTTCTTTTTTTTTTTTTCGTTTACCTTGATATCTCTAAAAACACAGCCGATTAAAATGTTATCAAGATAAATTGAACCCACGGTCCGTGGGAAATGTTAAATGTTAAACGTACCTGAGCCTTCCGGTCGTCGTACGTCAGCGTGATGACGACGCCGGTCCCGCCCCTCTCCTCGATCCTGACCACGGTGCTCTCGGCCAGCCTGAGGGCGGGACTCTTCTCTGCCGACTGCACGAAATCCTCGGTCCTCATGTCCTCGACCTTCCTGAATTCGCCGCTAGCCAACTGGATGAGTTGGCCGCGGTTAAAGTTGCGCGCCGCCCCGTTGGGCGGCCTCTTGGGCGACCGGGGCGGCGATTGGGTCGCCTGCAGCCTCCTCCTGCCCTCCGGTACCTTCTGCAGGTCGAGGGGGGCGTCGGGTCGCGTCAGGAGGCGGTGCTTCATCGAGCCCTCCTTGCCCGACGGCACCTTGAAGCCGGCCAGCTGGGTGGGCGTGTTCTTCTCCCGCGGCGTCGTCTGATTGGTCTTGGCGACGCCGGAGGGCGGGCTGTAGGCGGCCGGTGGCGGCAGGAAGGTGGCGGTGCTGCTCGCGGTGGGCGTGCCCGGCGAGAACATGTCCTGGGGACTGAGGGGCGTCGGGGGGAAGCTCGGGGTGCGTATCATGTACGGCTGTTGGCATAACGTCGAGTAGGGGAAGCTGGAGTATTGCGGTCCGTGGGAGAATAACCGGTACGGGGAGTAAGGGGTGAGAGGTTCGTCCGGCTCGTCGACCTTGGCGAGGTTGACTGGGACGGCCGAAGAGGGCGGCGACGAATACTTGCCGGACGGCCGCGAGGGCGCGAGCCTCGTACCGTTGGGGTAGGTGGTCGCGGCGCCCGCTCCATTGTAGCCCCTGAAACGGAAGAACAATGGGTGGTCCCGCGGCGGCGGCGTGGGGCGGGAGTGGGGGGTTACCTCGCGGCTGACGGCAGCAGTTTGGGGGCGGGCCTGAGGAACACCTCGGGCGGCTGCTTGGGGGGGTTCCTCCAAGGTTCCGGGTAGGTCATGTATAGCAGTCTGCTCTCGATGCCTGCTGAAATCATCGGCTCACCGATCGACGCTGGCGTACCTTCTGCAACCAGGAATACGAGACTTGAAATCTGGTCTAGTTTATTAATCCCCACAATGGGTCGATGATAATAACCAACGCCATCAAAATCATTCTCGTAAGATATGGAAAGAACAATTCAGGGGCGGATTTTTAGGTTCTCCTCTGCACATTATTCTTTAGCGAAATAAATAAGAACTAAAAGTTGAGATTTTCACATGACAATTGTTTCGACAGCACCGCGTCTTTATCAAATGTAATATTTACAAACTACCTGCTACTATATACGAGGTTAGCGCCAAAATTTCCCGGCCTGACGTAGATGCAGCTCCAGTATCACGATAAAACGTTGTCTTCTCTTAAATATGATATCTTAGTAGGCTGCGAAAAAAAAAATTGTCTTGCGTCAAATATTTTTAATGGCCAGCATTTTAAACAAGATGTCTCCGAAAAAATGTCGCAAATAGCGCAAATTGAGTGTAGAGCAGTCATAAAGTTTTTGACAAAAGAAGGTTTAGCAACTAAAATTATTAGAACTGGTCGACCAGTGGCAGTCATAACGGAAGATATTGTTGCGATTGTGGAAGAGGTGGTATTGAGTGATCGACGTTTAAAGGGCAAGGAAATCTCAGAAATTACTAAGCTTTCTGATACAAGTTATTTACTTGGATGAAACCTGGTATGATACCTATGATACCACGGAAAAGGGTTGGGTTGACTCAACTGATAAGTGTAAAACAAACGCGCCATCAAAAAGAGGTAAAATAATAACTATTTTGCATGCCGGCTCTAAAGATGGTTGGATTTTTTTTCTCTGTCTGCGAAAAATATTAAAGATTCTTCTCTGGATTACCATAAAGACACTACCGCTGATTTATTTGAAAGTTGGTTTAAAAACAAACTAGTTCCAAACATTTCTCCTAATAGCGTCATTGTAATGGACATGGCAAGTTATCACAGTAGACAGTTGACTAAAACCCCTTGTTCTTGTGACACAAAAGCAACAATCCAAAACTACATCTATAATAACGACATTTATTTTCACGAAGATTATACCAAAAAGCAATTAAATGAGGTTCTACAAAGCTTGAACCTACAAAAGGAATACGTCTGTGATAATTATGCAAAAAATCTAGGGCATACAGTTTTAAGGCTTCCACCTTACCACTATATCTTTAATCCCATTGAACATGTTTGGCACCAACTGAAATCTGCCATTCATCCTCGTTAACTCTAATGCCGTCAAACTTATAGAAGCCGAAGTTTTTAATATCCCTCCACAAAGTTGGGCTTAATTCGTATCGGTTAGTCACTTTCTTATATCTATGAACACACTTTACCGCTTTAGTTAACTTTTGAAGTCATATATAAGATCTTTCCTTTACACATAAATTAGCGAGTTCTACGGTTTTATGTCATTTAGCAGTGATAATAATAAAATTTGTAAATGGAAGTGCAAACATATTTCCTGGATGTGACAAAAAAAAAATAGAATAGGTGGTGCATTAACGGGTTAAATCAATCCGCATTATCGACGCCGCACCGCAACGAACTTATCGTTTCATTCACTTCCGCGCGCGCGGAAATAATCGCTCGCAACGCCGCCCCTCGGCACGGACCGCAATCGCGGGCAAAATGGTCGTCGTATCGGGATGCGCCCGCCGTTGGGTAAGGTTAGGCGACATGCTCGACGACGGCAACCTTCGCCTTGTACTTGACGGGGCGACGTTGCCAAGTCGCGGCAACGATCGGAATAAACGACGCGGCGTATAGGGGGTTGCATACCTGGTAGGGAGCCGGAAGGCTGACGGGTACTTCGCGAGGCTGTCGCGTCGAAACTAAAGTGGTACCGGGTCGTGCTGGGAACCTGTCCGTCACTACGTCGCGTTACTACGGTCGGGTAGAGGGGCTCTGCGAGAGAATTCGTGGAAAGGCGGGCACGCGGGGCCGGTAATGGACCCTCTCGAGATAACAATGGGCCTTTCGGGAATTGTTTGGGTGTACCTTTTTTTGTGTAAATCTCGAAATGATGACCTGCGGCCGGACCGCTCGCCGCGCGTGGGTACAGTCGCGGCACCGACCGTAGGACCTCGCCAGATCATAGCATTTTTTTGTTTACGCGAATTGTTCAAGAATTTTTCGATTTTTTTTAATTTCACGAGAATACGTATTTTCCTTTTTTTGTAGCAATTACGATACATTTTAAAGACACAGAACATAGAACGCGCTTTTTGCAAGAAAATTTCTGTCGCGACCTGGTTTGTCCCCGATCTGTAAACTGTCGTTGTCGATTACGTCTAGAGTTGGTGGGTTGTCGAAATACACCAACGATCACATTATTAGTTCGCGACTGCACTTATATCTTTAGTTTACTCTTACTTACTTAGCTTACAGATACCAGAGAGTTAAAGTTTGTTCATAGATATAAGAAAGTGACTAACGGATACGAATGAAGGAAAGACCCGGGCAAGCTGTAAGAATGAAATATGGCCGAACAGGTCCGTACTTTGCTTAGAATTTAATTATTTGGGGTTTTGTTAGGAAAGATTATTCACATAATATATCAGTATCACTATCGCTATCATCGCCTGTTCTAATTATTATTTGTTCTATATTATTTGCAATATGGATATATGATTGTTCTGCTTTTTCTATATGTTTAACAGAATTTGCCCAACTTTGGGAAGGGATATTAAAAACTTCAGTTTCTATAAGCTTGAGGGCATTCGAGTTAACACGGGGAAAACATTGTTACGACGAATGGCAGATTTCAGTTGGTGCCAAACATGTTCAATGGGATTAAATATACAGTGGTAAGGTGGAAGCCTTAAAACTGTATGCCCTAGATTTTTTGCATAATTATCACAGACGTATTCCTTTTATAGGTTCAAGCTTTGTAGAACCTCAATTAATTGCTTTTTGGTATAATCTTCGTGAAAATAAATGTCGTTATTATACATATAGTTTTGGATTGTTGCTTTTGTGTCACATGAGGAAGGGGTTTCGGTCAACTGTCTACTGTGATAACTTGCATTGAAGTTTGTTTTTAAACCAACTTTGAAATAAATCAGCGGTTGTGTCTTCACAGTAATCCAGAGAAGAATCTTTAATATTTTTCGCAGACAGAGAAAGTCCATTTGGAATCCAACCATCTTTAGAGCCAGCATGCAAAATATTTATTCTTTTACCTCTTTTGCCCTTTGCCGGGGTATCATAAGTGTCGAACCAGGTTTCATCCAAGTAAATAATTGACCTTTGCTGCTCTCGGCAAATCCTAATTTTTTCTAGATATTCCAATAGCCATTTTCGAATTCTAAAAGATTCTATTAAAACTTGCCTTTTGTCAATTTTTTTAAATCTAAAACCCATGTGTTGAATACACTTCTATAAGGTAGTTCTGCCACATTTACCACCGGTTTCATCTTTTTCAAGCCTCCTAATTAAGATATCTAATGTAGACACGCTTTGTTCCTCGTATATCTGGTAAATTTTACGCCATATTATATCTTGACCACTTTCATCTACACTCGAGAAAATGTCAGCATCGCTTCTTTTTTTCCTCGCTGAAATGGGATTTTTGAAAATTTTCCTTACAGTTGATGAGAGTCAAATAAACATTGTTTATAACTTAGTCTCAATTGAATACATTTGGGCGGGAGCATCTCCTGAGATACACTAGACTTGCACATATTTTGCATAATTCGCACACTATTCAACACACGCTGTATTACAGACGAAATAAGAATGATTACTAAGTAGTGTACCAAACCAAAGAATATTAAACACAGGTAGGTATAAAATTATTTTCTATTACGGACCACAATTTTACCTGAATTTAAATTCCGAAACTTTAGGTAATAATCTTGTTGCATTGTATGTTAATGTCCACCCTTGAATACTCCCATTCAAAAGCAATTGGTCACTTTCTTATATCTATGAACAGACCATACCCTCGACAATGTAAGTTCTGAATTTCTCCCTGTCTCATCAGGCGTACCGCAAGGTTCCGTCCTTGGACCTATATTATTCTTAATTTATATTTCTCATATTTACACATCGCTCAGCTATTTTACTCCATCGATCCTAAATTATTTGATATTGCTTCAATTTATATCAATTTCAATTTGCACAACGTATTTCTGGGCATGATCTTCAACTTAATGCTAATAAATGCGGTGTAATGTTCTTTTCTCCTAAATCTAACATTGTATCCCAAATGTATTTATTAGTTAACGGTAAAAACCTTGGTGTTACATTTGATTGTTGACTTAGATTAGATTTGTTGGTGAAAAAGTATTATATGGTTTTGCGCCATTTATACGGGCAGTTCACAGAAACTTTTAGCTTAATCACTTGTCTTTTCGGTTATGAAGTATGGTTTAGTCCTCTATTACCCATGTCTTGAGTATTAATAAATATTGATTTCACAAAAATTGAACTGAGGTGGCTTTTCCTTGATGAAAATCCATTTATCAAAACTAAAAGTTCAGATTTTCACCCCTACAGACTCTCACTGCCACGAGATCGTTTATCTTTGTTCCGCAGATCGTTTTCGTATAACGCTGTCGTAATTTTTAATAGTATACCCGATTTAATAAAATCACATTCAATTAGATTCTTTAAAAAACTCTTTCAGGTTGAGACTGCTAATTTCTAACTGTTTAAATAAACTTCTGTTGTTCCATATTACTATTACATTTATCTATTATACTATATTTAATTTATCAATGTATTTATGATTTCCTATTTAGTTTTCAATTTAAAAGACGTTAAGTGGAGTAGCTTTTGCTAGACTTCGCCTCATCATCAATCAATCATGGTCCGAACTTTTAACAACCATTATATACTCCTGGCTCTATCAAAATATACTGGTGCTCAACACAGACAACAAGAGCTACCAGTAGTAAATATCTAAGAATGACTATAATATAACTGAGGGCTGACACAGTAAAAAAACCAATACTGCTCAGTATTGTAAGTAAGGTAATAGTACGAGGCTAGCGCCAAAATTTCCCGACCTGACGTAGATGCAGCTCCAGTATCACGATAAAACTTTGTCTGTCTTTTGACAAAAGAGGGGTTAGCACCTAAAATTATTAAAGAAAGACTGGATGGTGTGTACGGCCAAAGTTCTCCTTCGTATTCTGTAGTGAAAGAATGGGCAAAACGTTTTCGAATGGGGCAGGAGTCCCTTGAAGATGATTCAAGAACTGGTCGACCAGTGGAGGCCATAACGGAAGATATTGTTGCGATTGTGGAAGAGGTGGCATTGAGTGATCGACGTTTAAAGGTCAAGGAAATCTCAGAAATTACTAAGCTTTCTGATACAGATGTTCGTCGAATCCTGCATGATCATTTAGGTATGCACAAGGTTAGTGCAA